TCTCAATACTTTTTGTTTTACAAAGAATATTGCCTGATTGCTATGAACTAATTAGGAGGATAATTAAGAATATCAAAAGGGTTCATCACAGTAAGCCTTGTAGATGGTCCATCTTCAAGCTCTGGCAGACAGGTCCATCTACAAGCCCCTCACAGCCTGCTGCCACACCCACACCCCCCAAATATCCAAAACAACAATCCGTGCAGACCCGTTCTCATTAACACTGAATCTAACAAGATATTCTGTATTGTGTCTGTAGGAATAAAACACACGTTTGATAAGCTATTAATTACTCCATATATTAATGAAGCATAAAATTTGGAAGAAAAATATCGACAGTTCCAAACAGCAAACAAAATTCTGAAAAATTGAGGACAACTTATAATCAGATCAAAACATAGAACTTAGCACCACCTATTGGACGTGAACTCATGTTATATTCGAGTCAAATAGCAATCAAAAGACATGCTTTATAGTTCCTTTCTGTGTATGATCGTTCAATAATCCAAATCAATGTGCATTGGCCCTTGAGCATGTACACAATGTGGCTACGCATACTTGTGAGTAAAACTTACTGTACTTAACTAGCACGTTAAAATCCTCTTAACTGCTGCGTTCCTGGATTATATCCTTTTCTCCTAAACATACTCAGATTAAAACAAACAAAGGATATTGGAACTATAAAACCATCATAACAAACTAACCAATGACAATCACCAATAGAATGTAACATCGTCAGCTGAGACATTGTAAAATCAACAAATAATAGAATCGGAGCAATTTTTAACACCCGGGCTCATACCTGCTTGAGGGAGATGGGGAAAGTCAACTGTCCAGAAATTTTTGGCGTCTTCACAATTTCCTTCATTATGTCCCTCCAACTCCTACAAACTCCAGCACAAGCAACCACATTCTTTCTGGGGGGCCAGGTACTCTCAGATTCTTCGATCCTCACCAACACATCTCTCAACAGCTCTGGTGGCATGTAAGCCCAACAACTTTGCTTCAAAGCATCTATGGGCACGAAACAACTATCCTGAACCACCCTCTGTGACCTTGATCTCAACCCATTTGGAAGCCTCATCTCAAACCCTTTTCTAGAAATGCTCCCAAATTCGCCCCTCATGTCCTGAAGTATACTTCTAAAAGACATTTTTTCTTTTAAATTACCACCAATACAGTTGAGACTAAAGATATAAGTCCAAAACCTCAATCCCACAATTGAAAAGAGCCCAGGTTTAATAATTAACCATAAAAAGGAATTCAAACCCACAAAAGGAAAAAAAAAGGAAGAGCAAAAGATCCCAATTACGATAAAAGATCCAAACTCTAATATGATTTGTACAAACCCAATTGAGATGCTAACATGTTTAACGGTCCCGAATCAAGCAGCTCGCACCTGATGCAGTAAATTTGACATCATAAAGCAGCATTAACAGAATTAATAAAACACGATCGGCAGAAATAAAAAGGCCTCACATGAAAATCAACTGTTCAATTCAGAATCGAAAGTTCAGTAAAAGAAACTCAGATCTGTGATAGTACAAAAATCCAGACGAGTCAGACAACCACTCCAAAAATAGTGGGCAAGTGAACCAACAATCCTCAGACAAATTCTTAAGGAACCTTTTATGTTCTTAATTAACAAAACAAGAGCAGACTTCTAATGCAAGTAGGGTTTGGAAACTGGAAGCATTTTGATTAAGGGGTTAAATATGCTGGTGGGAAAAGTGATAATCGGGATTAGGCTCGGCAAGTATGTCGTAGTGTGTGTTCGTCGTTTTCGGGCGGAGATGGGAATAGGGTAGGTTTGCTGCTGAAGGTTTACTGCGGCACTTTTGGGCAGTGACAAGTGTGAAACTCTAGTCGCCCCCGGCCCCAGGCCCATGGAGTTTCTGTCCAGTTTGCATCATTGTCCGAATTCTGCTGCTGAAATCCGACTCGAATATATATAGATTTTCGATGCTTCATAGCATTTTCTCTCTCTCTCTCTCTCTCTCTCACTCTCTTTACTTGTCCGGTAGAAAAGAAAAGTATATATCTGGCAACAAAGATTCATTGCCAGTGTAATTGCTCTTTCGCCCTCATTCTTTTTAACGCATCTCAATATTATGATGGGATTGGAAAATTCATTCTCCATCTGATTCTAATAAGATAAAATGCAGGGGTCAAAAAAAAAAAAACTACATCACCTCGTTATTTTTAAAAAAGTTTTATAAATAAAAAATATGATTAAAAAATATATTTACAAAAAATATAATAAAAAAAATTTCCACAAACAACTACAATTTAATCAATGGTTAAGCTTCTTCTAAATAAGTATTCATCCAACAAGTACATAAGTACGTCTTTTTTTCTCCTTCTTGTTTAATTTCCCAGTATTCTTGAAAATAATCTTTTACTTTAGCTGTAAGGGTTCCCTCAAATAATAAATTTATTAGCCGTAAAGGGCTATGTTTCTACATTCAATGAAGAAAGATTACATATTAGCCATTTCGTGTGTGTAATGAAATAAATGAATTTGAATTTGACCGACAACAAAACAACAACATTTCTATACGATATTAAACAATTATCTATGGTTTGATATTTGTTGATGGGATATCTAGAACATTTTATTTAAAGGGGATTTTTCTAACGGGTTCACAAAGGCATTTGTTAATGTATTTAAATTATATCTAACTTGCCATGTAATTATATAAATACTAAAGGCATTTTATTGCACTCTTGCATTTATTAAATTTTAAAAATTAAATTTACTTTTTGCTGAAAAAACTTAACACTTGAGATCGTTATTAACTGACGTCCATGATATAACTTAACTCTTTGATATATGATATATAGATATAGACTAGCCAGAAACGTACGACTTATGAGGGTGCAACCCAAATTGGTCAAAAGGGTAGATGTTATTGGAAGTAATTATTTAGTTGGTGGATTTGTAGTAAGAAACACTTAATGAGGACAAAAATGACGTGAATAAGTTGTCATAAAAAGTTTACACTCCAAGTCCTTCTTTTTGTATTTTGTAGCACTAAGTCCTTCAAAAAAAAAAATTTTCAAAAACATGCCAAGGAAAATGAAACTCTATAGGATAATTATTGATATTACCAAAATGAATTTAATTAAAGACCAAAAATATTATTTAGCATTATTCTACCATCACATGGTCATACGGGAATAAATAATCCCATATTTCTTTTTGGGAGTGACGATACTGCCATGGGGCTTAGATAAACCCAATGTGGAGCGATAAAATGAAACCATGAAGCTATACTGTTTGTTACCTGAATAATTAAAGAGATCTTGGACAGGATGGGACTATATTCAACAACCGAGTTCACTTAACAAAAAGGGTGACTAGAAATTCCTACGTATCAAATTGATAGATACAAACATGAGAATTTTTGAAATTGAGAAAACAGCCTGGTTTGAATTGCAAATTTTTGAATTTTGTGTATAAAAATGTACTTGTACCGATGTGATGTATGATAGATAAAAAAAGTAAATAAGAAATGTGTTGAGATAATTTTTCGGCAAAAATTAGGGCTTGTTTGACAAAACTAAATTATGAAAATAGAAACCTAAAATTTAAGTGTTAAAAGTATTAAGTTGTATATGTTTGATAACTAACTAAATTACCATACTAAATTGAAATATTGAACAAATAAAATGTTTTGACTTTAAAAAAATAATTGCCTTTGTTTGTGTATTCGAAGAGAAAGAAAAGTGTGTGCGAGTGAGAGACTGAGAGAAAATAATGAAATAATTTAGAATTAGTGTGTTATGTGTGTGTACTTTGTGCTGGAATATATATGAAAATGTATTATATGTGTGTGAAATGTAGTAGTACGTATAAGCAATTCAAAAAAATTTGTGAAACATGTTTATTTAAAATTTTGTGGAGCAAATTTTTATGGTGTTTAATACATTAAGTGATAAGGCATTTCTATCATTAAATATGTTGAATTTAAAAAATAATTAAATTAATTTTTAATATTAAGTAGAGTTATCAAACATGCTATTAGTTTATGTCTATCATACAAGTGATATATATTAGAGTGAAGGATGTGTGTATCGTGTAAGTAGGTAGTATATCAGAGCAAGGATTTTTTTCCCTTGGACAAATAAAGAAGATTTCGGATAATCAGTGTTTGGATAATAGATTATTTGAAATTTTGGATTAGCTGTTTTTTGGGGTGTTTTTTAAAAAACTTTATTATAGCAGAGTTTTTAGAGTATATTTTGAAATATTTTTAGAAAATATTTTGGAATATTTAAGAGTAGAAGAATTTCTAAAATATATTTTGAGATATTTTTTTAAATTTTTAAAAAATTTAAACTAATTTTTAGATTATCTTTTAGAATACTTTTTAAAAATCTTTATTGTATTTAAAAAATTAGTTTTTGAAAAACACTAAAAAAAACAGGGATCCAAACAGAGCAACAACACCATCTTTTTCAAAAAAATATTTATTTTTTGAAAGTGTGTTGGACAGGAATGATGTAAGCAAATACTTTCTCCGTCCCACTTTGATAGTCCTGACTTTTTTTTTTCACACAGTTGAAGAAAAAGTAGTTAACTTTGTTGGAACAATCAATTTAGGTAGCTATATTTCTAAAATGCCCTCACATTAATTAGATTACAACTTTATGGAAACTTGAATTGATGGTAAAAAAAGAATCAACTCTCATTAAATGGGGTAGATTTATAGTAACAACAACTTACATTGAATAAGGGTATTTTAGGAAAATTAAAATACAACTACATTCTTTAATTGGAAAGTAGACTATAATTTGGGACAGACGAAAAAAGAAAACAGGACTATCAAAATGGGACGGAGGGAGTAAGAGATTTCAAGAGCGTAGTTTTCAAGAGCACATGGCATCATCGAACAAATCCAACGGCAGGAGACTTAGCCACGTACTAAGCATCCGTTTCCTTAGCATGCAAGATCCTAATTCCTAACTCCCAGTATCTAGACCTTGGCGACATTTCAAACTGCTTTTTCACTGTTGGCTTTGCTCGATTGCTTGCTTTGTTTCTTTCTTTCTCCGCATATTTGGATTTCTCTAACTCTCCCTTTCCCTTCTTCAAGCAAACATAAAACCCTACTCCATCTCTCTCTCTGCAACACAAATCGCTGGTGACCTGGACCTTCCTAGACGCTAACCAGCAACTTTACTTTTTATTATTATTTTTTTAATGTGAAATACAAAAAAAATTCTGGACGAAGTAATTGTTGATCGTGTATTTTTAGTAGAAGCCCGAGAGCGATACTTCCACTGGGAGTGATGATGGGAAGCAATGCACTGTTTGGAACAGGAATTGGATCCGACGTTGATCAATTGTATTCTATAACTTTGTTTGTGGCTTTACTGAGTGCGTGCATAGTGATTGGCCATTTGCTCGAAGAAAACCGCTGGATTAACGAGTCTATTACGGCTCTGCTCATCGTAAGGGGATTTTTATTTGTATTTTTGTTAATTGTTTCTGAATGCATGGATAGACTATAAATTGCATTGGGGCCAGCTAGAAGAGATGTCTCACGTCGATATAGTCCTTAAGTCCTTGCATGTGATCAAATGGCGTCTCTGATGGTCGCAGGGGTTGTGCAGTGGGATCGTTATTTTGCTAACAACTAATGGCAAGAGTTCCCGCATCTTAGAATTCGATGAACAGCTGTTTTTCATTTATCTTCTCCCACCTATTATATTTAATGCTGGGTAAGTTTCTAATTTTTTTTTTAACTCATACATGTGGTTTTCAGAGAAGTACTTGCTAGTCAATCACCTGATCTCTCATGTTCGTGTGTCCTCATATTGATCAGGTTTCAAGTGAAAAAGAAGCAATTCTTCCGAAACTTTATGACCATTGTGCTATTTGGTGTAGTTGGTACTCTGATATCCTTCTGTATCATATCCTTTGGTACGGTCTCGTTTTCTATATCGCCCTTAATTTTAGTTCATTGTAGCTAATTATTACTTAACGTTTCTAGCATACAAGATGCTTAAACGTTTTGTGGAGTTGTAATAGATGTCAGTAGGTGAATACTATTTGAAGTTTATTGTTACTGTTCATCAGGGTAGTTGGAGTCCCTTTTATGGTTGCTACTTTCTACGTTGATGTTTAGAGAACTAGCTATTTTTGATGATGTTAGATGCATGCAATCTACTCCTTGCTTGAGCACTTATCAACAATATTTTCCCCTTCACCTAAGTTTCTCTGTATCCAGAAGGCTATAACATCTACTCTCTTTTGCCTAGCACCAAGTCACCAGATAATCTGAAAAAATCTTAAATATATTGTGTAAGCTCATGAACATTATGTTTTCATTTTCTTACCTTCCCTAGAAGGAATTTGGTGTTGTATGACATCTTTTGTCCTTAAACATAAAACATATCTACTATTTACGCTATCTCCAATACTCATTTTAGTTAATTGATTCAGCGTTATCTGCTTCTTTCATTCCTGTTATTTGGTTTGTTATTTGTGATGGTCATAACCAAAGAATTCTGATTCAGGTGCCAAAAGTTTCTTTGCAAATCTGGACATTGGATCCCTGGAGTTGCAAGATTATCTTGGTAGTGTAATATTCTTTCTGTAAAGAATTTTTTTAATTGAATTTCATTTTTTGGCTTTTTTCATGGTGTCACTTTGTGCGGTAGATTGACTTCTTGCAATTCTGCAACTATTTACAACTTTATAGCTATTTGCCTTTCCTAGAATTATACTGCTATTTGACAAATTCTCAAGTAATTGATGTAATTTTTCCTTATTTTCATAGATAGTTTCCCTTCAGGACCACATATAGCATTTGAGACCGTTAGTGCCACTATAAACGATCCACAAGGCAGTATACATTACCACTTGGCATTCTTCTGAAGTTTGAATTAAAATTAAAAAAATATGATAGCGGATTATTTTGAGGGTCATATTAAAGTGGATTAGTTGCATTACAGGTTTCCTATAAGTATGGAAATTTTACTCTGTTATCTTACAATTCTTGCACCTTATTTTGCAGCAATTGGAGCTATATTTTCAGCAACCGATTCTGTTTGTACATTGCAGGTATTGAAGGATGCAATTTTTCCTTCAAAAAAGAGAATGAAAATCCACAAATTGACTTTGCCTTTTTTTTTTTTTAGGTGCTAAATCAGGATGACACGCCTTTGCTTTACAGTCTAGTTTTTGGTGAAGGTGTTGTAAATGATGCGACATCAGTGGTACTTTTCAATGCAATCCAGAGATTTGACCTCTCTCATGTTAAGTCAAAGATTGCCGCACAGTTTATGGGCAATTTTCTTACACTGTTCATCACAAGCACTTTTTTGGGAATAGTGGTAGGTCTTTCTCCTGATTAGACCAACATCCTTTATTGCAGTCTTATAAGATTAGCAAGTTTTGTCCTTTCAGAATGTAATTTCGGCCCTATTGAGCTTGTCAAACTTTAAACCTTATGCTGCTTTACCAATATGAAAGATTGCATCTTTTTAGCATTGTGTTAGCTTTCCTTGCACATCAATATAAAATTTCGTCTCTTTGACTTGTCAAACTTTTCAAAGTAGGGCTCTAGAATGTACTCGATTGGGATGTTCTGTGAGATGTTCTCATCAGTTTCATCTCAGTCCAGTGGAAGTATTTATCAGAACAAGCTCTAGTAGTTTGTAACTTAGCATTATATGACCAAGGTTTTATGTTTCTGCTTGCATGTAACATGACATTTTGGAGATCTTTTTCTTTTAATTAAACTGTTCTGTACTAGTAAGTCTTCAGAAAGAAAAGTGCTGGTTAGAATTAGGAGGGAAAGCTTGATAGGTTCTAGTAGCTGCAACTAATATTTGCATTGATGTTGCTGCACATGAAAATTGAGCTAATCTGTAATAAAAGAAGTAATAGGTTTGTATTTTCGATAAGAGGATGTATCTCCGAATAGGTAACACCTGGTTGTTAAATGTTTACTTTCCAAGTAGAAACTCGTTTGCACTACAAGTATAGATCATACAAAGGTAGGAAGTGTTTGGAGTTCTATATAGCAACTGGACTTCTGACAAAACCTTCATCCTCTCATGTCATTTGTTGGGCTTGTTATCAGTTGATTCTTAGTTGCATTTACAGAAACGTTTCCTTTAGGTAATGCCATTATGCCTTTAATTATTCCTCGTGTTCAATTCTTGAGGTACAAAATGAAACTATTAATATACATGTCGTTCTGATGACTGCAGATTGGATTGCTCTGTGCATACCTGATCAAAAAGTTGTACTTAGGGAGGTATGTTAATCTAGCAGTTTTCTAGCATGTGTATAATTTGATTCTCAACTTTTACGCCTTATTGAGATTGAAGTAATTGCTAACATGCAATTCCAGTGGAATAATTATTATCAATACATGGGATTAAGACTATGATTATATTGATGATTTCCATTTGATTATGAAAAAAGCTGGATGATTGAAATTTATGGCAAGGTTGGGCTGATTGGCAATTTAAATTATAATCTCATTGTTCTTCCTTCCTCTCCCAGTCCTCAGGAAATAAATCAGGATGAAACTTTACGGGAATGTCATATGTATGAACTCATGGAATGGCTTGGTCATGTATCTTGTTCTGCTATTTAAACTCTAGTGGGTTTATGTCCGATTTCAGGCACTCTACAGATCGCGAAGTTGCTTTGATGATGCTCATGGCCTATCTTTCATATGTTATGTCTGAAGTAAGTTTACTTTCATGGGACACATAACTAAAGAGGCTTAAGCTGTTAGTTGAGAATCTCTGTAAATTCAGCTAACCAGAAAACTTGAGCTTGAGGATTGTAAATTCAGCTAACTCGGCCCTATATATTGAACGGACTTTACTTTCTACTTCTTACTGGATCAACAATTCTACATATGCTCTGAAATTAAAACTTTTGATCCGAGTGATTATGTCAATTTGTGCTCTTTTCAGATGTTCAACCTGAGTGGAATCTTAACAGTGTTCTTTTGTGGGATAGTCATGTCGCACTATACATGGCATAACGTTACTCAAAGTTCTAGAACGACTACCAGGTCGGTCGGTCTGTCTGCCTCTCTCTCTCTCTCTCTCTATCTCTCTCTCATTTTGGCAGGATTTTCAAATACTAATTTTTAATTTGTCCTGCTTTCGGTCATATTATGCTACTGACGCAGTATAACTTTCTTCCACAGGCATGCTTTTGCAACATTATCATTTGTTGCAGAGGCTTTTATCTTCCTTTATGTTGGGATGGATGCATTAGACATTGAAAAATGGAAATTCGTAAGTGAAAGGTAAGCTATACATGGCTGAAAATGTGGGTAGTTATAGTTAATCTCTGTTGATGCACAGGGGCGGAGTTTCATTTACTTCAGGAATCATTATCAAGGTTTTGAATTTTTAGAAAGGATTTCAAATGATGTTTCATGATTACTTGTTCCACAAACTATTTGTTCACTATATCTTTGTTTACCATTTGCTTCCAAAGTAAAGTTGTCCTGTACCGTAATTTACCAAGTTCCTGCAGCCCAGGAAAATCCATTGCAGCGAGTGCAGTTTTGTTTGGCTTGGTTTTGGTTGGAAGAGCATCTTTTATATTCCCTCTGTCCTTCTTGTCCAATTTTACAAAGAAGTCAAAGAGTGACAAATTTGATTTGAAGCAGCAGGTATTATTTGGAGTTTCTTTAAATTCTTTGGCCTCCAGGTAACAATACTATAACAAATTTAACTGAACAGGTAACAATTTGGTGGGCTGGATTGATGCGAGGTGCAGTGTCCATGGCATTAGCCTATAATCAGGTATATATCTTGTCATCTTGTTTTACTGCTTTTGGAGTAATTGGTGGGTTGGAGAGGGGGTGTATGGTGAAGTTCAAGTTTCAAAGAGTTTATTGCTTATTTTGAATTTGAAGCATATAGGGATTCATAGGACTTGTTAAGTAGCATATGAGATGACATGGCACTTCTCTGCCAATACAGGTTACCAATCTGATTGTGCTGTTGATTGTAGAAAGAGCGTGGCATTCAACATTTAGTTGTGAATATAGTTCTGTGCTGTCAGGAGAGTATATGCTGGTTAAGAAAAAGGGTAAAAAAAAAAAAGACTATACTGCTGAACAGGCTTTAGAACAATTCTTTCTTGTATATCAGCTATATACAAAGTATAGATTGGATGAATATGTTTTCTAACTGATTCACACCTCGATGTTCGGAAGAGTTTTGGAAAACTATTAGCATAGACCAAGTCTTTCTGCTGATGGGTGTTCCTGTCTCTATGGTGATTGTTTGTTTCATATATTTCTAGCATACTACAATGGAGCTACAAGCCTAGGTATGGTAAAGTATGGTTTAAAATGTACCTGAGGGTACCTGACTAGGTATCTAAGTAGGCTGCAGATATAGTTATGCTACTTCTGGTAGAAGGATAACACACCATGATCTCAATCCCAAGTAATTTTGGTCATAGAAATGAACATTACTGTGTGTTGATGCTGGTGATAACTGTATTCTGATGCTGTTATTTCATAACATTGCAGTTTGCAAGGTCCGGCCATACCCAACAGCCTGGGAATGCGATTATGATCACTAGCACCATCACTGTTGTTCTATTCAGTACCATTGTAAGTACAAGAGGCTTTAAAAAGTTAACGACGTTTATTTCCCTAAACCTAATATTCTTATTGTTTAGCATCACTCATTATTATGCTGCATGGCTATTCTTTTTCGTAACAGTAATTTGATAGCAAATATTGATTTGAAATTTACTGGCCTAGTTAGTAGTAGGACAGCAAGCACCATTACATTCCCATGTTGTTTTCTTCAAGGTACACTGACCATGTTCTTCCAGGCTGCTTCAGAATTTCTTAAAGTTCTGGCTCTGTTTTTGTGGTCAGCATATTTGTGATGCCAAACTTTTTTGGTGAAACAGTAATCTGACTCAGAATGATGCTCTATGATTTACTTTGGGGCTTCTGCTAAATGGCTGTTGGTTTTGTCGTGTCAAGGCTTTTGTTGCATGTGTGGTCAATATTGCTGAAATATGTGCATTTAAAATGTAAGATGATGTTGGACGTGCTAACTAGTTCACGAAGGTCGAGCAGATTGTGTTTACTTTTTTATCCTTGGGAAAGATGTACGAGCATGGCATGGTTTTCTCGAATATTTCTAATCTTCATTTGGTAGTTCAATGTAATTGAACGTTCTGAATTATGTTGATAACTAATTGGTTTCCTCTTTCAAATTTTGGATTTTTTTTTTTCTTAGGTGTTTGGGTTGATGACGAAGCCTCTTCTAAAATTCTTGCTGCCTCAGTCCATAATTCCCGAGCATGGTATGGAATCTGAGACGGCTGGCACGAGACCCATTCTGATGCCACTTCTGGACGATGAGGAAAATGTAGAGGTTGGCAAGGAAAGTAGCAATACTCGTCTTCCATCCAGTTTGCACATGCTTCTGACCACACCGACTAACACAATACATCATTATTGGAGAAAATTTGATGATGCTATAATGCGCCCAGTCTTTGGTGGGAGGGGGTTTGCGCAGCTGGACTCCGGTTCTTCAGAAGAAGCGAGTGAATAGTAGTGGCAGAATAGACAAAAAAGTTAATTGGAGTGGCATATACAGTACTGAATATGCACCCTTTTCCGCAGTGGATAGGATTCTGCAGATCACATGTGGCTTTGCTTTGCAAAATCAAGCATGTTTGTCTTGGAAGTCTCCTATTGCTGGGATTTGGAGGGAGAGCTAAAATTTTCCCGAGCAATACATGCAGAAACTTAACAGTGTAGTGTTTGGATAGAGTATTATTTGAAATATTACTTGTATAACACTTTTTTGTGATACGAGATGTACGTGAGATAAAAAGTTAGTTAGGAATATAAAAAAAGGTATATTGAAAAATGTATTTTTGTGATGTAAGTCAAATATTATTGTGCTATCGAAACACGCTTAGTTTACAATACTTAAGCTTTGGCGATGTTGTTGATATTTTAGTTTACAAATTTAGGATAAGCACATTTTTATTAAGTTATTGTATTATCACAGTACTAGACATTTACCGTATGCATAATTAGACTTGAAAATTATTCATGATAATATAAGAATAAGATTCACCTTCTGCTATTCAAGATTAATTTTTTTTTAATGTTCTTAACTGGTAGCCTATTGTTTTTTCCTCTATAATAATAATATGAAAAAAAAGCTTAAGTAATTACATGCTCTAATGAATTTTTTTTTCATCACCTTTGTTTCTAATAACACATTTCAATATATATATATTGATATTACATTGACACTCTCTTATCATTGGTGAATAAAATACGTTCTTGCTTATAGTAATAATAATAAAAAATAAGAACACAACTCGGAGGGTAATGCACTGACCATCAATTACGAAATCCTCATTTATGACAAGAAATAGAAAAGGAAAAAAATTTTGATATCCCTTTGAAATGCCAAGTCATCATTTTCGACCGTTATGTATCTGTTTGTATTATGGGTCCCACCGTCCTAGTCCCATACGCTCCTTCTGACAGCGACGCAGTCTCCCGAAAAAAAAAAAGAAAAAAGAAAAAAGCGGTAGCACCGGTTGTAAAATCGTGCAAACTACAAAACACAGTAGTAGTCCTCTTGAATTTGAAACTTGTTTGGAATGAGTTGTACTGTTTAAGCAGAGAGTTTTAATGAAGCCCCAGAAGATGAAGTCCTGCCAGTCCATAACATAAGCAGATAAAGCCCGAGGACGAGGGTTTTATTTTTATATTAATGCACCATATTATTTTATAGTAATCACTCGAAGGAATTCGAAAATCGCCGGACGCGGCGGTATCGTCCCACTTGGCAAGGCGGTGAATGGTAAGTTTTTGTCTTCTGATTCAAATTCTTTCGGCAGTCCGGCTTAAACTCCAACGTGGCAGTTTCGGTTCTAGTAGTAAAATTCTAGGAAAAATAGATGCTCATTGGTATATACGCAATTGCAAATCTCGAGAAGTCTTGGGGTGTTCAAATTCTTTCCACTCACACACGCCTCCTCTGAATCCGACACTAATATCCTCAAATCAAAGCAGTAGTAGTGGATGTGTATCATCATCCTGAGCGCAAGGAAGTAGCAGCCCAGCCCTCAGCCTCACGCAGTTTTTGCGTGGGAGGGAGTGTGTGTGTGTGAGGAAGTGAGTCGTACGCCTGCCATCGATCGAGCGTGAGTGTGTGTGTGTGTGTGTGTTTTCTTCAGCCTTTTTTTCGCGTGGTTGCAGCATTCTTCTACCACCTGCGTCTCCAAGCTCCGTCGTCGACAAACAAGTAAGCCCATTTAATTGATCCACCACAAGTTCGCCGGCATAATTCAGGTGCGGTTTTCAGGAATCCTTCCTTGTTTATTGTCGTTTTTTTTTTTTGGTTATTACTACTGTATTATTTTGTCTCAGGGATCTTTGAGCCTCCAAAGCCCAAGATCCCTGCTTGGGAATACCCCGGTTGTTCTGTTGCTTTTGTAAGATTTTTTTTTTTTTTTTTTTGGGAGTTTCTTCAAAGTCGAAAAGACCAAAACAACCTGCAAAGATGGCGATGACAATGTCGCTGCTTAAAGAGAGATTAATGTAGTAATAGTACCTATATTCTCTTATATTCATAATAATTTAAATTTTGAAAAGGTTGAAGAAGAAGGAGGTATGGTGGAAGCCAAGCAGCAGAAGGAATCGTCAAACTGGTGGTGGTTTGACCGTCTCAGCATAAGCAACAACAACCAAAAGCGTTCCGCATGGCTCCAATCAACCCTTTCAGGTAACTTTTCTTTTGCATCTAATCGACTCTTTAACCATTGTTCTGCTTATGGTGCTAGTATTCTCTTTCAGTCACAACTATCGAGGACTTCAGTAGTAATTTACTAACTTAGATTGCACAGTTCTAGTAAACAGTGGTAGTGCTAATTGTTTACACTGCAAGTGGACATTTGATTTGCTCAAGATTACTTACCGGAAATTTTTAAGTTCTAATTTTACATCTTAAAAATGTCGCCGATACTGGATCATTTAGGCAAAGCATTCGTAACTAGATCTTTAAAGAGGCAAAATTCGATGGTCACTGCAAATTATGGATGTCACACCTGCCAACTAAAATAGAATAAAAGTAAAAGACAATAAAACATGAAACTGTGCCAGGGCAACAGTAGTAATTAGAAGATTTTTCCCCCCATTTTCCCTCCTAGCAAGATTCGTGCTAATAGTTTCGAAGATTCAAAAAGGGTTTACATTATATTGGCACCAACTGTTGAGATGTGGGTCGACCCTTAGAGCTACATCCACATCAGAGCCATGTGGAGGTGCGAGGAAGGTCCGTCCATTTGTTATCTAACTTTTATCAAGGGTAATGGTCACTTGTTTAGCTTGCATACAAGTTTGGACTTGAAAAGTAGATGGTGGAGGGATCCACTACCATTATCAGCAGATGGACTAGGATGATAAACAACGAGATATTTCATATTGGACGAACATGGAGAGCAGAATTAGGGCTTTATGATAAGAGAGGATTACTTTGATGTTTTGTCTTTCATATGGGGATTTGGGTTTTGCTCATGATTAGTAAGAAAATGTTGCTTATGAAATGAAAATCGGAGCAGCTTGATGATTGGTGTCATCATACCAATGGCCCGCAATATGGAGAATTCTCTGTCAATACTTCAGGACATTTTTATACACTTTTTAAGGTCTTCTCATAATTTTTGGTGACATCCTCGTATTGTGTCTCTGACCCACTATGGTCGGAATAACTACGAGAAATCATCAATTTTTGGAGCACACAAGTAAGAATTATTTTCGAAAAAGAATGTTGGATCTTATTCCGTCTTTTTTTTTTTAAAATATATATAGTTCCTATTAGCTGGGTTTGTTGAAATTCTTTCTGGGGTCATTAATGCATTATCCAAACTTATTCCACGGCCTTTTTAAGTTTTAATGTTCGTGTTTAGAGGGGTATAGAATAATAGAAATAGTGGTGGAAATTATCATTTCATCATTCGGCTTTCTTGCCTAACTTCTTTGCATTATATTATGAAATCTCTTCGCCATAAACTATTTTTGAAGTATCAGAGAGTAAATTGAAGCAAATTTCCCATAATTTTAAAGCTTCCGACATGTACTGCTGATTGCTATTAACGTGATGAGTATTGATCAAACCGTCTTGGCAGAGCTGGATGAGAAGACGAAGGCAATGCTGAAGCTAATAGAGGAGGACGCAGATTCCTTTGCTCAACGTGCAGAGATGTATTACAAAAAGCGACCGGAGCTTATTAGCATGGTTGAAGATTTTTATCGAACCCATCGTTCATTGGCTGAGCGATATGATCAATTCAAGTCCGAATCTGGAACTCGGCTTGTCGCCCCATGGGCATCCCCATTATCAGTCACCAAATGTAGACCGGAGAAGTTGCTGACCTTGAGTTCCATGGATAAATCCTATGATAGCTATTCTGAAACTTATGGAACTGAGGAGTTGGAGGAGGAGTCTGACGTTGAGGATCCTGAACCAGAGGAAGTAGTGCCGTACGACAAAGAAGCGGACAAAGAGGAAGTTTCAAGTGGTGATGATGGAAATAGTCGCATAATGAAGCTGATGGAAGAAATAGAGAGACTTAAAGAAGAGAACAATACTCAAAAGGAGCAGCTAATGCAGAAGGATGAAGAGAAGAGAGATGTCATCAGACAGCTCAGTTTAGCAATGGACTTGCTCAGGGAGGAGAACGTGGAGCTCAGGAAGAGAGTTGTCAAAGAATCTGTTAAGAGACAGGATCACTTCGAAGTGAACAAATTGGAGGTGTTCTGGAGGAGGCTGTTCAATTGAGCTTCAGAATTAGATGCTCTTGTGTCTCGTGTCTCACTAGAAATTTGTATGTTTTGTATGCCAGCAAGAAGTAAATCTGTACAACAGTCAAACGAACTCTTTCCATAAATGTGGGGCTTCCTCATTAACTAGCTCGACTTGAATTAGTCTTCCAATCTTTACATCAACGTTAATCTTCTGGTTGTACTAGTCAGTGTTATTATGTAACCTTCTCCATTTTTTTTTGGTGTAATTATGTTGGTAATGAACTCCTCCTCTGAGCCATTATTTTTCTTCAAGGATAGTGTAATTATGTAACTACTGAATTATTTGTATATGCTAGGAAATGTTTACTACTCGTTCTAGCTCTTTTAATTATTTTTGTATATGCCAGGCTCAAGTAAATAGAGAGAAAAGGCAAGCTCTGAATCCTCATGTAAAAGTAGGAGCTTTACTTGTTCACATTGATCAGCTCATGATTGCAAACACAAACAAGAAGATTAGAATCGACCTTTGAGACCTAACTTCCCACTGCCAAACTTGGTGATATACGCTAGAATTAATTGTCTATCATAAACATCAAATTAAAAAGCTCTCTTCTCTGCACATACGGTTGGAAAGCTAAATCTGAAGAAAAATAGAAGCTCGCAATCAGCAAAAACCTTTATTATCAAGTGTGCTGTAGTAGCTGCAATGCATTTGCACCTTTGCATACCACAAGAAATGTGCATTTACCAAAGTGCTAAGAAAGCTGGGAGGAGAGCCGAACTCAGAAAGCCCGAAACTTTAAGCTGATTCGAGGAGGAAAATGGCAAGGACCCGAGTGGTGAAAACGCCAGGAAAGGCACCGGAGCTTCTATTGCGTCCGGATTTGGAGGGCTTGGGCTTGAAGGAATTGTGGGCAAGGAGGACTCGCTTGGAGAAAGCTCTGAACCACCTGGAGAAGGAAACAGAGGAGTAATGTCTGGAGATAAGGCTGGCGGCGAAGCCAAAGGTGCATCTGGCAACAATGCTGGAGCAGCTGAAATTGTGGAGGTTGATAACTGTGGCTGATCAGGTAGAGTTGTTGATACGAAGGCCAACATCAAAGATGGGCTTGCCATGAAAATCAAAAACTGGATAAAAAGGGGCCAGATGGCAGCCATTAATGATAAGAAAATCAATACCCTCACAGGGTGCAGAAATAAATGTGCGAATGTGTGTGTTTGTGAGAGACAATGGAATCAAAGAATGCGGTAGTAATAGTGGGTATCAACTATCAATGTATGATTGAGTGATCAGAACTATTACTAGTGCTACTAGCGCTGAAGGTTTTGTGGTGGGGACTGGAATGGCAGGTGGCAAAGGATAAATGGGGAATCATCTGAGGAGACAGCTTGTAGTGTCTGAGCTAAGGGACAAGATTGATAAATGAAATTTGACATGGAAACACATGACGGTGAATTGGCAGCTTCTGTCCATTTCTTTCCTGAGTGGCTGTTTGCTGCTGTTGCTATTCGTCGCCCGTGAAAGTCCTCCTGCTCTCCTGTCCTCACCACACCAACCTGTTTATTTGCGCGACTCACGCTCCCAAGTTTTGATGTCCCTCCGATCCTGGGCTCAGGATGGCTCAATAACTTACAACGGCTCCCCTGTTCTATAATCCCCGAATACGGTGTTTCCGCTATTTATTTGTCACAATTGAATACATGACACATATATATATATATATGTGTGTGTGTGACAATACGACCAGCGAAAATTAATCAATCTCACATACTGCATCATGCCCGTTAATCAGTTGGAAGCCTGGGCCAATTTACAAGACCACAACTCGATCACAGGGGCAGCACATGTTACGTACGAAGCCCAAGATGGCCCAACAGTTTAATAAGATTGGTAGATCCGTCTCACTAGAATAAAAGAACGAGATCACAACAAAAATAAAATAAAAAATTCCATTGGTATCTTCCAATGTCTCTCCCAAAGTTGTAGCCCAGATGCTGTTCGCGGCCCACAGCTATTTGCCTTGGGGTTGGCCTGTGTAATTTGGGACGAACAAATGCCCAACAGAAAGCAAAGGCTGATGAAAAGTGTGGACTTCGGTTTTATTGGATCTTTGATTGGGCGACGTACAATTGCTTTTCAGGCTTTAAATCTGAAAGATTTATTAATAGGTACGGAAGAACAGCTCTCATTAAATTCTGTAACTGCCCTTGGAGCTTTGATGGGCCACGTTTCCCGCAACAAAATTGTTGAGTTTTTAAAAGTTGTTTTGTTTTCCCTTGTTTTCCAATGTAGTATAAAGCTTTTACAGTTTCCTTGGATTGCCAAAAAAAACAAAAAAAAAACCTTTGTTTCCAAAATAAGGAGAAAAACAAAATAATATAACAAGTTGTACACCAATGTTTGGACTCTTCAACTTTATATCATTGGATCCTATTTCCTCTATATTTTTTGAGTTCGAATTCTAAATTTCATTTAGTATAAACAGACTAAAAGATTGAACTTTCAGATATCGAAGTTAAGTAAATTATTTTGTTGTAATCAATTTTGTATTCATTGAGCGCTTGGTTTTGTAGGGCATTCAACTACTTCAAAAATCGGTTTGCTGTTCGATTTAAGACAAGACCTTTTTTTGTTTTCTTATTCAATTTCCTTCTCCTTTTTTTTTTTCAGAAATTAACATCTGCATTACGTCACTCCAAATATGATATTTCATAAGGAAATAAAATGCATACTCTTTGCTATTATTTTAAATTCATATGACAAGAGAGGAACTGTAAATGAAAGTATTAGATTCAAATTCTTTCACTTTTTTTTTAAAAAAAAATCATACGACAAATCAACATGTTTTTTTTTTTTTATATATAGAAGAACATAAACCAATATAAGTAACTAAATGCATGGTCATTGCTCTATGTATATGGTGGGCCTGAGTGAATATGCAGTGAAAATATATAAGTTGTCTGCGGCCGCTTTGGAAGCCAACATATACATGCCAATATATGTCAAGAGGTTGAAGCAACAGAGTAATGAATGATATTAGCATCGAGTAGGTGGCTGGTATAGCAAGATGACGCTGCATGGCACGAGTCTCGTCTGGACTTTGGAGGAGCATAGGGATGGCAACAGGGCGAGTTTGGGGAGGCCCTTCCCCGTTCCTCATCCCGTTGCCAAAAAATTCCCCCTGTTCTCGTCTCGTTTCTCGCTTCCATTCCCTATATCCTCATCTCGCCTCGTTTCATTCCGCTTCTTCTGTGGGTGATAATTTGATTTTTTTCTAAAAATTTTTATTCAATAGATTAAAATTAAATTTAAAGAAAAAAAATAAAACACGAAGCAGAAACTAAGTGAAAAATGAAACAAGAAAAGTGTTGAAATATAATACCAAGAAAATTAAGAAATTCAATTAGATTCTACAGATAACATTTGGACATACTCATAGAACGCGTAATATGTTTATGCCAAATATCAACTAGAAATTTGGATAGAAATGAGATAAAAGTTATATTTAGTTGTCAAATATTTTAAATTTATTATTATTAAATTCTATAATATATTACATATATTTATATTAATAAATTGAAGTGGAGACAGGACCACGTATCGTCCCTCACCCCTCACCCTATTAAAAACAAACGGGGGATGAAAAATTCCCCCCGTCCTCGCCCCCGCCCTGCTCCATAACCTCCCTCACAGGACAAGCACCTGCACCGGTTGCCATCCCTAGAGAAGCAGCAGTTCTTCCTCCGGAGTACAATGAAGTTTTTTTAATATATGGCGATTCCTCTCTAATCTAAAAGTGAAATCTGACGGTACTTTTTATTTTTATTCAAGGATCTGTTGGGGCCTCCTAAGAATAGCATCAGGGGGACGGTCAACAAAGCCATTTGTACTTAATTTTGATTTTTTGCAGGTTGCGGAAAGTTTTCGGAAAGAGTTGGTAAGAAATAAAAGCAGCTTTGCTGAGTACGCTGCTAAATTAAATAATTTACACTTAATAAAACTAGCGTATAAAAATGATACCGCCGCAGCAGGCCGTGGGGAGTTGTCAAATTCCGTTTTCCTCCCGAAAGAAAAAAGAGGCTCCCCGTCCACCTACAAAAAAACCACAACCCAAAAATTGTACTGGCTCCTAGTAGTAGCAGAGTATTTTTCTTCTCAGTTCTCTTCTATCTTTCCTCACCCATTCAATTTCCATTGCTTCCAACTACTGTTTCAAAGTAATCAGAGACTTAAAAGTTAATTAGGCAATTGTCATTCCTCTTTTTGTGGACATATACGTACAATACACCAGTTGTAAAGCCTTCCACGCAACGCCATGATCCGAAAGCCAACCCATAAAGATAAGGAGACCTAGCAATCCCCCTTTTCTTTTTAATAATTAATGCATCAACTTTCGTACGTGAAAATAATCTTTCTTTTTTTTATTTTTATTTTTATTTTTTGGGGGCCGGGTTGGTGGTATAAGTATAACTCGAGGATGCCATGGCAATTGGATGCATTACAAAATTGTAGATGTCTCATTGACTTAACATATATATATATATACTAGTAATAGAATTCCCTTTTTTTTTTAAAAAAAAAAAGAAGTAATCCACTTTCAACCCTCGCCGGAACCCCAAAAAGGAAAAAAAAAAAAGAACAATCAATTTTATCGACTTTTTTTTTTTTTTTTTTGTCGACACATGGTGTCCGGGTCAATCCTTACGGGACCTGACTAATCCCCTGCGATCCGGGAGAGGAGGCTCCACTCCACACCGAACACGTTAACAGCGGGACTCGAACCGCGGACAAGTCAGGAAGGTCGCCGTACCCGAAGGAGAGGAAACGGACCGCTCGAGCTATTCAGCGGAGGCAAAAACCAGCCATATAGAGTGGCAACTTGTGGGAGGCAGGGGTTAAACCCCTGATCTCGAGCATATCAAATAAGGGATGACCACTGGCAATTTTATCGACTTGACGTACGTAATCAAGCGTTAGGTGAGAGTCATCTTTTCCGTAAATGCATTAACTCGTTGAATTGGAAAGTGAGCAAGTCTGCACCTCCTCATCCCGTAACTAAATATTTCATTATCTGTACACAGGAATGGAGCCCAGATCAGAACAATATTAATTATTATTCTTCCACAAATACTCTTGATCGTTGCGCATGGGGACCTTATGTTTAATTCATCGACTATCATGCTGCTATACGTATAAATTGAGAACAAATCAACAAATGGAAAAGGAGAAGAGAGGAAAAGAAAAAAAGAAAAAAAAGGATGCTCAGTCTTGTAGACGTCCAGACTCTTTCAAGTGACTTTGATTTCTGCTTTATTGTATTTAAGGGTTGGTGGGGTAAGACCAGTGAGTGAGTGGCATTCGGATTCGCCGGAGAAAGTAGGTTTAAGAGAAGACGGGATTTGTGATGACAACAATGATCGAATGGTACGCTGGAAGGAGACATTTCCTTTTTCATTACTTCTTCTGACCCAACCGACCCCATCTGATTAATGGAAAGAAAACTGGATGCAAGGTTAAAGGGGGACATATTTACTGACCTTTTGGAGGTAAAGAAAGGGATAAAAAAAAAGAGTCTATATATCTATATATATATATATATATATATATATATATACATATATAGCAGATGAGTACTAAGAGCATCCACAATGCTATTACACCTTGTGGAGTGTAATCCACATGCCACATCAGCATTCCACTTTCTCCTCTTTTATTACACTTTCACTCACAATGGATTATCCTCCATAAGGTGTAATAGCATGGGTCCACAATCAAATCAAATATTTATTTTAATAATGCATAACTCATATCCCATAAATAAATAAAGTAATTTTTAAAAATAATTTTGTTATTTTAAAAAAATAAAGTACTAGCTTTCATTAAATTTTTTACATTTTCAATTTTTTATTTTCTAAAAATGATATTATTAATTTTTAAGTTTGAATAATATATCTTTTTCTATCTTTCAAAAATAATATATTGTTTTGTTTTCAAAAATAATTATGTAGGAAATTAAACAAATATTTGATACCTTAAATGCGAAGATATCATAATAATCCATATTTAATTAATAATTCGGAATGTAATTAGTTGAACTCCATAACATAATAGGATTTACATTTAATTATGGCTCCCACCTTCTAATGGGATTACACGCATCATATCCATGATGATGCGTGTAATCTCCATGACACGGCTCCAATGGGAGACCGTGTCATGGAGTGGTGTAATGGCCCTCCATTACACCCGCGCTGCTGTTGCTCTAATGCATGTTGTCAAAATCTTCAGACAACCAAACCAAGGACGACTGACAAGCATGCATGGCTTGTTAATCTTCTTCTTCGCCTTTTTTCTTTTGTTCCAGTAAGTATATATCATACAGTAATTAATTTGTTCTCCATCAAAATAAATAGTAAATAAAAGTAGATCTGAGACTGGCTAACTTGCTAATTAGTGATACTGATACATAGTTTTTTTTAAGAAAAGAACTTTTTTGTTGGAAAAGATACTACTGATATACATAGTTAGTCAGAGTGGATTAAGAAGGAAGGAAAATGCATTATGACCTCAATCTCCTCTTGTACGTCAAGTTAACTGATTTTTGTCAAGCACACCATGAAACCCTGGAGGGTAATCATAGACAAAGCTAAAGCGTAAAGAACTGTGAATAATTCAAACTTGGAGGCAAGTAATAGTCAGTCAATTATTACCATGCATGCATTTTCTGATCTGTGAAATTGATTGAAACGGCATCCAAAATTAAAAGCCAACAAAATTAAGGCCTTGCTTGGATTGCTGTTTTGCGTAGAAAAATTTCGTCATTTTCCGTGAACACATTTCCCTATTACATTTTTTCCTCACATACATCAAATCGCTACAGTAATTTTTCCATGAAAAATGACGGAAAATGCAATTCAGCAGGTACTTACTAGTCATAGCATAACTATGTAGCAGGCCCCTGATGCATATATATATATATATATATATATATATATATATATATATTTTGTCGATACAAGGGGTATCCGAGCTAGCTATATATCATACACATATTTTCCATGACCTTGTTTATTGTGGATTTCTCCGAAATGGTGCGGCAATATTTCTTTTCTTTTCTCCAGGTGAAATGAAATGCATGAGTTACGTTGAGATACATGTTAAGTAGTGATGAGTTTTCCTATTTCTAGTTTTTATTAGGTGGATTTTCTTTTAAACCGTCCAATTGCCAAGGTGGTTAGAAATTAAGACAAAGAAGGAACATGAATTAGTAATTGAGGATAATGAAGGGTTTCAAAACAAACTAACAAAGTCGGGACGGATCATTTCGTGGTTCGTGCGATTGCCTTCTCGCTTTCCCAGAAGATTATAGGAGTATCATATCATGTTTTTGAGCGTTGACCACCTAAGATTTTACTAACGCGTGCGGGATGGGAAAGATGATCCGGTCAGTCGTCTCGTCTCTCACACACACAGTCACTTTCCCCGTGGAGATTAAAGTGCGGGGTGGCACCACCAAGCAATATCTAGTGACTGTCAACATTACCATTTTTTCGTTCAACTATAGTGTCAGTTACTATTAACTTATAAAAATTATTTGATCGCAACTCTTTTGATCGCGTAAAAGTTGTGCGTTCGTTCGAATTTCGCTACTAACTCTTGACTTTGTGTGGGTTGGTGAGTGATAGAGTGGAATTGAGATTACCAAAAATTTTAAATACGGGTCCAAAACTTGGCCAGATTAGCTATTTTTTGAAGTATTTTTGAAAAATTTTGTTGCAACGAAATTTTTAAAGTATATTTTAAAATATTTTTAGAATATATGTTGGGATATTTGAGAGTAAAAGAGTTTTTAAAATATATTTTGAAATATTTTTTAAATAATAAAAAAATTTAGACTGTTTTTTAGAGTATTTTTTAAAAATTTTTATAATATTTGGAAAACTAATTTTAAAAAATTGATGAATCCAAATAGAGCTGAAGGAAATTTTGAATGAAAAATAATTATATAAAATTTAATTTTTACACATATATTATAAATTCAAACAGTGATATCATCGTATATGTACACTGTTTATATATATAAAATTTACTCCATCCATTTGTTAAGAAGAAGAAATGTTTATTCCAAGGCATCCCACCGCATGACCATCCCACTTCGGAAGCACATAGCTCCATGTTCCACGTCAGCTGACATTAACAATTCAAGTACGACTTTGACCCGCCCAGCCTATCACCGTAGAAAGCCTTTTGAGTTCCAGCGATGACCTCCCTGCCCTTTATCTTTTGAGGTTGGCAATGGCATTACTGTAAATTTGTCGGTTACCACCAAGCCTTTAAAATATCACATCAAATATCGTCTCCCACCGATTGTCACATTAAAATACGGAGTTGCTTCAAAAAATTCAGACGGATGCGTAATGCATCCATTTGATCCGGTAGTGGTTCAGTTTCCTTCGAATTACTCCTGAAACTCCTTAGGTTTATCCCCTCTGCCTAGTGTAGAATAAATTAGGATGTACTACAGTTGTCGTCTTCGAAAAAAAGAAGACTATGCATGAGTGACCTCAAAATACGCCTCCATTGAATTCCAATCATTTATTGTGGGTAAAACAAATGTATTCAAGTTATATATGACTATCGCAACGCATAGCAATCCATGCCTAAAACAAATACTTTTCTGTAAATATTTGTTGGGGTCATCATTATAATATATATATATATATATATATATATATATATATATATATTCAGTTTGGGAACTAAAGTTTAGTTGTTGTCTTGCCTTAAAAAAGAAAAAGAAAAAAAAAAGAAAAAGAGAAGAGTTTAGTTGTCTTATCGTCCTCATCCCCTGCATTAAGAAGTTACATTCGCATCTCCCTCTCTACATACATGCATTACATTAAAAAGGTACATTCGCAACTTCGCATCTCCCTCTCTACATACATGCTTTAAGAAGTTGCATTCGCATCTCCCTCTCTACATACATGCTTCATATGATGAATTTTGTTGCACAATGTTGTCAAGTGAACACTACTTTACTCCTCCAGTGAACGCATTACAGGATTCGGAGAATGAGTGAGTAATTAGACTAAAACCGCTCATTATTAACAAAATGCTTAGAACTTCGAACGTCCTCGGGGGAAAAAAAATCCTTTGATGATAATGCCGACATTATAATATGTTTTAAATTTTAGATAAAAGGCTAACAACCTACTTTATTGTGTTTGACCCACCCATAAAGGTCTTTTATTACTTGCCCGCAAAACAAAGGGGGAAAAGAAAAAAAAAAAAAAGAAGCTAAATTCCCATAACGAGGGACCCCACAAGAACTTGGAGTCAATCAATTAACGTCCTCCTATTATTTATGTTGTTGGTTATTACTTATTAGTAGTATAAATTGTTCATGCCCTCCTGCTAACTCCTACAGTGTTTGTATCTTCTATTCTCTGTTATAGCATTAGGAGGAGTTTGGAGATTAATTTGTGGGCAGATCAGAGCGACGACCCAAGGCCAGCCATATTCCTCCAAGCCATGGCAACCAAAGAACAAGTGGTAATAGTAGTGGGAGCTGGGCCATCGGGGCTTGCAACTGCAGCATGCTTGAACAGCCTTTCCATTCCAAACATAGTCCTTGAGAGAGAAGATTGTTTTGCTTCCTTGTGGAAGAAATATTCCTACGACCGCCTTCATCTTCACCTGGCTAAACAGTTCTGTCAACTTCCTCTCAAGCCGTTCCCGACCACCTACCCGACTTACGTGTCCAGAGACCAGTTCTTGCGTTATCTAGACGACTACGTCTCCCATTTCAACATTTGTCCCTTGTACCAAAGATCGGTGGAGTCGGCGCAGTACGATGAAGCCGCCGAAGAATGGATTGTCAAGGCGAGGAATTTGGGTTCTTCCGATCCCGAGCAGATGGAGGAGTATTCCAGCAAGTGCTTGGTGGTGGCCACGGGAGAAACCACCGATGCATTCATCCCGCAGCTTGAAGGTCTCAACACTTACCTGGGCGAGGTCATCCACAGCACCCGATATAAAAACGGCAAGTCCTATGAAAACAAGAATGTTTTGGTTGTGGGGTCTGGAAATTCTGGTATGGAAATTGCATTTGATCTATCAAACTACGGTGCGAAGACCTCCATCGCCGTCCGTAGCCCTGTAGGCGACTCTCTCTCTCTCTCTTTTCCTTTTTTTTTTTTTTCATTTTATTCATTTGGGAGTGACAACATAGTATATTTAGTTACCCTGGTGAGAATTATTGGATTCCTTGAATGGGTTGGTTATGACACATGCAGCTTCACATTCTGTCAAGGGGAATGGCAAACATGGGACTGGTTTTGTTGAAATATGTTTCTCTGAATGCGGTTGACTCGCTGTTGTTGATGCTGAGCAAGCTGTGGTACGGAGGAGACTTGTCCAGGTACGGAATCAAAAGGCCAGAGGAAGGTCCCTTCACCATGAAAGTCAAGTATGGCAAATACCCCGTCATTGACATTGGGACCTATCAGAAAATCAAATCCGGCGAGATTCAGGTGCAGTATTGCGCGATGATTTTAATACACTTTCATTAATTGAACCGTTTTTACCGCGGTACAATAGTTAGATGAACTGATAGCGCGTGGACCATGCAAATTAATTCTGCTTCTAATTATTTTGATTTCATATGCTATCTTTTCAAGGGGAAAAAAAGGGGGTTCTATAGAAAAGGGGAAAAAAAAAAAATAAAGGGTTACTGCTATTTTAATCATATTTGCAGGATTGATGTGGATCAGTGGGCACGTAGCTATCTTGCTTTGCGTGTATGATTTCCATTTTCCAGTTCTGATACATGTCGACTTATGTAGAGTGATGATACGAGTACATATTGTTCGAAATTCCTTCGGTATGAAGCATGCATGTTGTAAAATCTTATAATTTTGATACCATAAAATAAATAAATAAACAGGTAGTGCCGGCAGTAGCAAGTCTTGGGGGCAATGATGTGGTGTTTGAGGATGGCAAGTCTTACCCATTTGATGCTATTATTTTTGCAACTGGCTTTAAGAGATCGACGAATAAGTGGCTCCAGGTACAATTATAATTCGCCTTGCACAGCTGCTTTTTGAACTTCTTGCCCGTCTTCCTTCAACTTGACACCTTCATAATATTTGCCCCACCTCCACCTGGCCAGGAATGCGTACGCACTGGAGAACAATTTACAGTAAAACCCTGATTGCTCCATCCAATTACTGATTACTTTCTTCTTCTTTTTTTTGTGTGTGTGTGTTTGGCTACTGGCCTCAGGGGGCTGATTATCTCCTGTCTGACGATGGACTTGCAAAACCTGCCTTCCCTAACAACTGGAAGGGTACCAAGGGATTGTACTGCGCTGGTTTGGCCAGAAGAGGATTGTATGGAGCTGCTCTGGATGCCCAAAGCATAGCCAATGATATCAAACGGGCTCTACAGATGTGACTGCTCGATATCCAGATTTATAATTACAACATGTTGCAAAATTTGTTACTAAGGTTTACAGAGAGTGAAACTGTTAAATGGTTTTGGGAAACACATCAAGATTCACAGATAATAAGAGAGTTAATTATTATTATTATGGTCTAAAAGATCTTTCATAAAAAAAAAAAGGGGTTTGTTGATGGTACTTATTATACGGCTTTTTCCCGTTATGACCTCTCCTCTCCTCTCTTTGTCCCGCGCAAACATCTAGTACCGGACTTCAATCTTTTTTTATTGTTACCGAACATTCTTTTGTCTGATGAAAACCTCGAGTCCTGGACTACAATCTTTTTCGTGAAGGAGCCCGGCGGACCGTATTAAGGAGTACGACACACGAGAAGTCCAGCCATTCCAGACTCTGCAGATACAAAAATTTCGGGGAAAAATTTGCACGTTAACACCGTTACATATCCACATCCACCAAGGCACTCCATCTGGGTCTTTTTTTTTCTTTTACAACGTTTTCATAATTTATGTCGTAATAGTTTTTGCACTAGGCGTTACAGCTTAATAACAGAATTAGCCTATTATTGCAAGTCCAGAAAAGATTACATCTCCTGTGAAAGTCATAAAGACGTGTAGCCTATTATTTCCTTTCATAATTACAAAGAGAAGAATCAGATAAACGTTAATTTTTGGCTTGTAAGAAAACAGATTTTCTCATGTCCTCCAAGATATTCGACAATTACCGAGACCCAAAGCCCAACCAATGTAGAAAATGTCTAGCAGCGGTGTGTTACTACTCCATAGTGACCAGAAACGTTAGCAGAAGCTATTCTCAATTTTTCATCCCACTTCTTTTGAATGGCTATAGATATCACCAAATCGAATTCCCTCCGGCTCTCTTCACACCCAAAGAAGACCTTCAAAACCAAATTCTGAATTTGAAACTGGACCATCTCCAAATTCATGTTGTTCAACTGGATGGTTTACCCCAAGGGAGTCAACATATGACTCTGAAAGATCTGGAGATCTTTCAGCCGGAATCCCATAATCTTTGAGAATGCGCGCAGAAGCAGAACAAGCAGCCTCTCTTTCCAAAACAGCCAAATAATTGTCTTCAAACTCAAAGACCAAATATTTATCCTTGCAAGCTGAGAAAAATAGTAATATAAAGAGCAAATCAAAGTAGACAGATCAAGAAAATTGATAAAGTACAAACCAATACTTACAATCAACAAGATAAGCAAGGTGGTGAATGTTTTTTATGCGCGTTCCATTTAACTTCAAAACCTGCAATTGCTTCTAAATTAAGGAAAAAATTTACACCTTTCAAATTTGGAAATTATTCCCAACCATGTAACATGGTAGGGCAAGAACCAGAGTCATCAAGAAAATGCTTGCCTGCTCGTTACTCATATCTTCATATCCAATATTTACTTCATTTGCTAAAACCTGTAAGTGAATTACATGTAAACAAAAAGGATGAAATGACCAATAAGGGATTTCATATATCATACTATAACCAAGCATCTCCAGATTTTTTTTCCTTTATTTACTTTCATCATAATCATCATTTAGCAATATCCAATTGGACCATGGCTGTGAGCTAAGAGAAACAAAGTTGAATTACAGTTTCCACTTAAGTCATATTAATAGATAGGAGATGATATCCTCTCGTATAGTAGAACCAGAGACAAAAAGGAGTGTAAACTTTTTTCGTCAAAAGCTGCATCTACAAATCAATTTGACTTCACACTTGGTGAATGTTATGCACCAACCTGTGAAAGGATCACAATTTGTTCCCCTTTGAACTTAGCCAACGAGTACCGTGCCTTCGTCAATAATTTCAACTACCCAGAGAAGAGAGGCAGGCAACCATCAAATAAATAGCTGAATAGAAGTGCTTAACTGAAGTATAATAAAGCAAATATTGAATAAACAAAACCTACCCCAATTTGGTCTTCGCATTCTTCCCTGCCACAAATAATAGAGGTAAATTTGCTGTAATGAAAATAATTCCTAACGAACTATTTCTTTGGAGACTGGATAATACCAGTCAAAAAAAGGTAAAGGCACAGGTTAATAACAAGACGTACTCTATCAGTGGGTCAGATAGTGGTGTGAAAACCAATCCAGCAACTATTAGATATGAAGGCTGACCTCCTTCAATGTGATATGGAACCTAGAATAAAAAGCATAATAGATCTAGATTTACTGTAGGGATCTCGAGTCAAATTTTCAAACTTAAATACTAACATCACATCTTTTAAATTTTGTTACATACCAAATGCACACGAGGATTTAAAACTGCTTTAAGTTTTGTGAATGACCCTGCCCTAACAATACCAAGCTCTGCCACATCCCCTGCAAATCTGAAACAAAGCATCCTGAAAGCGAGAAATTTTGCTTCTCATATAAATAAAGAAGCAGTAATCGATGAACCTAGGACAGGAAAAAACCATTTAAAAGTATCGACGATTTTATATAAACCTTTAGTGCTTGTAACTAATCATATTTCAGTAGATGCTCATCGAAGTGAGCCAGATAGAATACCATGTCAATGATAACTCTATTATTTGAGTTAAATTTGCGAAGTAACAGCAATGTAAATTTGAAAACATTCATCAACTGATATTCCTGCATATCAAAGCCTGAAGACAAAAATTAAATCAAAGCAGGAGTCCAGTGAAAAAATTCCTTAGCTCACCCAAAGGACAATGGTAAACAATGATATGCTTCAGTACTTAAACTTCAACCAGTATCAGTAAACGAAAACCATTACTTGGATATTGAACTGACAATAAAAAAGATATTCTAAAAAGTATCATGGAAAATTACAGAGTGATCAGGATGTGTATATGGATGCAAAACTGTAACTATATTGACAGTCCCAACATGCTTTTAAATGACAAACCTCACCTTCATAGGCCACTCACTACCAGAATTCAATTAAATAAAGATCTTGACACCAAGAAATATTGAAATTCAACTTAATTTAACATCATTGCAGAAAATTAAGATATTTACTTTTGACTAATAAGGTAGCGAAATGCAATGCGTTCAGTCGATCGGAATGGCACTGTCCCCTCACAACCAACACGAATACCATCAAAGCTTACAATCACATCCCCCTGAAAGGAAATCAGGGTACAAGTGTAACTTAATTTCAAGAATTTCAGCGTACTATTACCTTAAAGCTGAAGAAAGTAAGGATCCCAAAAATGTTGCACAATTAGGAAACATCAGTAAATGAGAGGAAAAGGAAAAGCCAATAGGGAAGTATGTCAAGACTCTATGCCTTTCAGCAAACAACACTGGCATACTATCCAAAAATCACTAACCGTATTAACCCTCACAAATAAAAGAACCAACACCGTATGTTCCTTAATAATGTAACTATAGTTAGGAAAAAGGAGACACATCTCATTCAGATATACCGGAAAACTGGAAGTGTCATTTCAAACATATCTAGGCAAACCATGAGTCCAACACCAAAATAGCTAATCATATCCAATCACAATAAGGGGAAAGTAACTTGTACTCACGTAGCAGAATTACACTGTCACCCAATTGTAATACCATTAAGAATTTAAAAGTCAAAACTGATTGAAAATGATAAAGTTAAGGAAGGTATAGTTACTAATAGTAAATTTAATTTTGGGACAAGGACTTGCAGCTTTAGGGTGATTAATGATTCAAAAACAGTCAACGTGCTTGGCTGTGATGATAATCAATGGCCAACAACAACTTGAATGTAAACCTGATAAGAGATGGAGTAACAAACTATTTCACCAATTATCTGTGTAAACAATGGACCTTACGAGAAAAATTGTGGACAAAGGCAAGTTCCATTAAATTGCACAACTGTACCAACTATGGATATTAATTTCAGATCCAAACTGAATTTAGGAAGCTTAAAGCAGTAGATATACAATTTCAATTACAATTCCTCATAAAAAAGCATAAGAAAAAGAAAGAGCATTAATCAGAAATATAATCAACACTAACTCGACCATGCTGAGATGCTAGCTATCAATATGGTGCCATACTTGAGCAAGATGCAAAACTTTGGTATATGCTGGAGGGAAAAACAAATCAAATGTGAGCTTTCTTGGCCTTGAAACTATAAATTACAGGTATACCTCCTTCAAAACATTACTGGCATCAGAAGTTGGCTCAACTCTGCGCACAAGCACACCCTGAAGAAAAACCATTGTGGGAAAATTGCAAGAGACAATGCAAAAGTCTGGCAAAATAAGCAGAAAATGAACAATTGGATTGCTATTAATTTGTTAAATAGGCAGAGAAAACTACATGGCATGTCCCATGTGATCCAGAAAACAATCTTAAATTACTTCAGACCATAAGTCCTCACAACCACAAACATAATAGTATGAAAATAAGCATCAAAGCAACAGTTTTTGTAAAATCAATAAACAAATGATAGAATTTTTGCCAATCACAAGTGAACCAGGGAATTGTTCAGTTCACATTTTACTCAATTTGGGCTTCAAGATGAAAATTCCTTCCCCCTTTCAAGGAGGATGTGGCAAATCTCTCCTAACTATTCTGCACTTTAAAATGCTCTCCCGCAGACAACAACTTCTTGGGGGCTGGGTCGTTTTTCCTCTCAATCACAGAAAACTACCACTTCTTACTTGTAACATTCACACATCAAACAAGACACACTACCACATCGGAAATGGTAAAGTCAACAAGAAATACATGCACTCACTCTGTATTAGGTGTATTTCCAGTTATCTAAAGAAACAATAAATGCTTACTGTTGTTCAATAAATATAACTTAAATTCCCTATAATGGATAATTTCCTGTTTCAACCTTCTTCAGTGTCGTGGAGCAACCATGACCAACCCCAATGCAAATTTCTGCTCTCCACAAGGTAATCTTTCCCAATATCCATAAAACTCCCTAAAGTCCTTTCCAAGAAACAATTAATAGTCATAGAAGAATGAAAATGCAAACCCATGTTCGCTGAACATGCATATCCAAGGAGTAGGCATATATTTTGACACATTCACAAGTATAATTATGGCGATGTCCATTAAGAACTGTGAGGCTACAAGCATTTGAACTAGCAGATTCAACTATCCTTTTAGTCCAATTAGAGAGCAATTAGAGAGAGAAAAACC